GTAACTAAATGCTACAGTTGCATTAGACAGTTGCAGGTCATTCTCTAGTCTCACTTCAAAATGTGTGAAGGTTGAGTCTAAGAAAGAATGCTGAAGGTCAATCTCAAGAACAGTGACTCACAAAATCAATAGATGCTGTCTCGTGTTACCTGCAAAAGCTGCTGCAAACCTTGTACAGACTTAGAAAGCTAAAATATAGTTTTATTTTGCTTTTTAATTACAGTTAAACCTGTGCTTTTGAGATTAAGGATATTGAACTGATTTTTTTCCCCTGAATGTTTTGTTGCTAGTTCTTTTGCTTACTCTTGGATGCAAGCGAAATGTGTTATGATTAGATTGAGTACTGTTAAAGAGAGCCTCTCTCATCTAACGGCAGACTTCTATGTTTTCTTTGGCCCTCTCAGCCAGAACTGACTCCAGATTTCGGGCGAATTGTAATCTACACCACCAGTTTTCGAGTGGTCAGGACTACATTTGAGCGATGTGAGCTGGTCCGAAAGATCTTTCAGAACCACAGGGTGAAGTTCATAGAGAAGAACATCGCTTTGGACAGTGAATATGGGAAGGAACTGGAGACACGCTGCAAGCGAGTGGGTGAACCTCCCTCACTGCCTGTGGTCTTCATTGATGGACACTACCTAGGGGTCAGTGGTCAATCTATTGCTCCACAGCTGTTTCAAAATTCACTCCATATTGAACGTCATTATGCTAGTGCTTGAAATCTGAACAATGATTTGCACATTTTGTACATTCAGGGTGCAGAGAAAATACTTGCAATGAATGAATTAGGGGAGTTTCAGGATCTCCTCAACAAAATAGAGGTAAATATGGATATTTTAAGGTTTCAACAGGAGCTTTTTGCAGCAATGCCAGAAGAACCATTTTGGGTGCACAGCTCCTAAAAGAAACTTTTTTTTCTTAGCGTGAAAAACATTTTAATCAGAGCCCTTTTCCACTATAAAGACCTTTTAGAGCATGGAAAGGTTCCATAGGTGTTAAAGTTTCTTCATTGAATTATAAATGTCAAGAAAGAACATTAATTTTTAAGTGCAATATAAGCCAATATTCTACATAAAACGTTTTTACCTATTGGACCCAATTGCTAAAGTAAAGACAAATTCAAATCTGGTTTATTGTCATAGTTTATTCTGTAAATGAAACCACACAACCATTTACGAGAGGAAAGGTTTATTATTACAGTTCAGTATAGATCTTTACACTAGACTACATTATATATCAGTGATTAATGTTATTTACATGTTATGCATTTGGCAGGCACAATTTGCTACATAGTGATTTCTCAAACATAGTGAATGTCAACAATTTCAACACAATCTTATGGCAAATTTGAAACTATTTTAAGTTTTGGCAAATTCATATGAATTCATAAAATCTCATACGTTTACGGGTGGACCTTAATGCTTATTATTTTTCTAAAAATCATCCGTTTTTGTATGATTCACAATGTATACGTTCATATGAAATCGCCACTATGTAAAATAGTTACGTCATCCTGTGAGATTGGGTTGACAATTTACAGGTTGGGTCCCATCAATAATTGCAAATGCTTTCTTAAAAAAAAAAAAAATAAATAACAAAAAAAAATTACAAGTACTACTAATAGCAAGCAAGCTTAAATTATTATTGTGTATTTACATAAACAGTGTGCAGAACAGCCCAAAATAATAGCTAGAGTCAAGCTTACATTTGTCTTAAAAAAATAAAATAAAAATGAAAGCTTCACTCAGATTGTATCTCAAAGAGACTCTGCACATGGGTCAGGTATTTCCTTCAAATCCACTCACATTTTTCTCTCTCTCTGTCTGATGGTAGAGGGTTCAGCACCCCAACACATGCCAGACGTGTGGGGGATTTGCCTTTGTCCCGTGCCCTATGTGCCATGGCAGCAAAATGTCTGTGTTTCGCAACTGCTTCACCGACTCCTTCAAAGCCCTGAAGTGCACAGCGTGCAACGAGAACGGTCTCCAGCCCTGCTCCAGCTGTTCTCACTAAGGTCCTCTTCAAGTGCCTGCAAACCCCTTCCCAGCACCACCTCCACCCTCATAAACCATGTATAAAACAAGAGATGCAGAAAGAACTGCTATTTGTGAATAAACCGTTTTTTTTATTTAGAAAACTCAATTACATGTCTACAGATGTAGTTTTTACCATATTTCTTATTTGATGATGATTATTTATTATAGCATTAGGCTTTTTGTCACATTCCAACAGATGTCTGGCAACATTACGGACAGCATGGACACTGTCTGTCACTGTAAATAAAAATAACATTAAAGTTAATTAACTAGTAGTTCAGAAGAGACATATCTTCCGAACCCTATGATCCCAGCATGAGACAAAATTCAAAGCATTATCTGATAAACATCAAAATGGGTGACCTACCGAGAAAAAAAAAGGCCATAGGACAAAACCCCAAATAAGTAAGAATTTTAATAATAATAATAATAATACTTAATATTACTGTTGTTGTTTTTAATATATAATAATACAACATTTAATAAATAATTAAATATTATTTTGAAAATAAATTAATATTAGTTTCACTATTTTCCAGCCAGTTAGGGATGTTTAGCTACGTACGTTATATTTAATAATTAACTGAAAGAAGATGACCTGTCTGTATACGAATGATATCGCTTTTCAGTTCAGTTACAGGGTTGATTAAACAAGGCTTCAAATCAATTAATAATTAAAAGAAGTTTAAATGAATTGCATTGCAATGATACAAAATAATCACATAAATACACTTGAGGTTGACAGAAATCCTTCTCAAACAGCTGGACTGATATGGAAGTGTGTCTCTGTGCTTTCATAGCCCTGTACAATGCTGCTTGATTCTGGGTCTACAAGGCAGCATTGTAAAGAGGCTCAAAGCTCAGAGTAAATCATCTGTGCATGATGTCTACTGAGGGTACATAATAACACCACTGGATGTCTCTCAAAACCTAGCGAGCAGCAGCAGAATTTTTTTTTTTCTGGACATCATTGCAAAATGCCTCATAATGCTGTCTAGGTAGTCGGCTCGTTAGGTTTTCCAGACGCAGCCAGTGTCACATTAAGGTTAGATAAATGACAATATTGAAAGGTAAATTAACCAATAAATATAGTGTAATGCTTCCATGATTGCGGAATTAATAGAGGTGGCGGACATGGCCATCAAGACAAGGCCGATAGCGCCCCCTATTGGTGTTTTTGCTATGACAAACATCAATAACAATAGGAAAATTCACACGAATATCAAATATCGACAGTCGATAAACAATTCAAAAGGCCTGGCATTCACACACACACACGGGATATATATTACGGTTAAACTCAAGCAATAAAGCAATATTAAAACAATATTTAGGTATTTTATATAACATCCGATATTAAATATCCGATACATTGTGAGCAAAACACAAATGTCTCGTGTTTGACTATTTACAAACAAAAAGCTCATTTAAAAAAGCGCGCGACGTATAAAAGCCACAGATTTCAATGAACCTCCGCAGAATCAGTGATTTATTTTGATATACAAGCATGTCAACGACAATGTCCATTTTTCTACAATCTGTCGAGTAAATCTTAGTCATCAGATCAAAAGAAAAAACACACTATACCTTCACAGAGAGATCAAACCCTCGTCGTGGGAGGAAATCCGATGTTCAGCCGCGGAGTCTCTACCTTTCTTCATGATCACCATCACGGATGCGCCACACGTTCCTGATGTCCCTGTCTCAAACCCTAGTGTCCTTCCTACCCAGACGGCGTTTTGGGAAACGTGGGGCGCAATCGAGTCAAATGCTCACAACGCGCTCGCAAATGTTGTCTAGGTAGGCTGCTCACCAGAATTTGAGCCACAGTCTGTGTACAATGTCCCTGCTGCTGTAGATGCATCATGTAGATGCACCGCAAACTGAAATCACGGCGGCCACTGACCATATATAATCCTTTATACTACATATTAGGTGTGCCAAATCTGTATGGTTCCATTATTTTGAGAAACCCTTTTGTATTTGTAGGTTGCAGCTCCAAAGTCCAGAAATATATCTGAGCCAATCAACAGACTAGGTTATTGATAAGTCTACTAGCCTTTATTTAAATCTACCTTTATTTGACCCTCTAACTCTAACACGTTCTATTCTATTTTAATTCTACTTCATCTATATTTATCTTCTTTTTTTATTAAAAAAAACAAAACAAAAACAAACAAACACTAGCTTTCTATTTTTTCTATTCTATCTACTTGTTTTTCTTTGTGTGTGTGCGTATATGTGCACTGTAAAAAAAAATCTGTGACATTTACGGTAAAATACCGGCAGCTGTGGTTGCCAGAACTTCACCGTAAAAAATATGGTAGCAACATTTTAGGTTTTACAGACTTAACTTAAATTCACAATAAAATACCGTATTTCATTAACTGATGTAATGTTAATAAACCAACATATTGAAGTGTTATCTGTTTTGAACCATTGTAATTCACTGATAACCACCAAAAACTGGTGGTGATGAGAAAGTCACATGATGAACCAAAGCTCATCACAAACAGCTTTTCTAGAGCTGAGGAGGGCAATTATTTTATATAGAAGGTGCACAGTCATTCACACAAACATTAAACCTCATCATGGTGACGCACATAAAACTGAGATAATGCAATAAACATTCATTTAACAACATTAGATGTAAAATTAAACCCTAATGTACACAACTGAAAGAAAAAATGTTATTTCAACAAAAAAAAACAAAATATGAAGCGTCATGCAGGGAATTCTGGGATATATATATATATATATATATATATGAAAAGAAACTTCAAAAGATTTCGAAAAAGATTTTCAAATTTTGAAATACAAAATGTTTTGTAACATTCTAACTGCATTTAATGTAACTTTTTATTAATTTAATTCATCATTTGTGGAATAAAAGCATTAATTCCTTAAAAAAAGGAAAAATCTGATATATTTTGTCAGTAAAAAAGACAAATATTCAGTGGTTTAATAAATTAATTGCAATTTATTCATCATGTTCTTCAGTAGCTCCAAACAGCTCAAATATTTAACCAAACAACAATCTGTCAAATAAACATATTTAAAATATATATTCTTAAAGCCTTTTCCAAAACTAATCTTTTAACTTCATCCATGTCTGACTGTTCCTAAGGGAAAATTTTGAAGCTCTGATTAAATTACAATGTTTAAAAACATTGCATAGGCTAGACGTCAGCAAAAGAGAGCATGTAACTACCACAAAATATACTGTTTGCATGTATACTGAGAGAATTTAAACGGACTGAATGCTTCTTTTTCAGATATCAAAATCAGAATGTTGTATTTTCAGTCGAGTATTATTTACAATGGGGAAAAAAAACACTTGGGTTAGTGTTCACAAACTAGGTTGGCAACTCAACAATGCCACCAATGACTTTAGAAACAGAGTTGTTTTTGGACATCTACAATTGCTTTCATTCAGTGACACAAAATTACAGCATAAACAGATGAACAGTCCCAAAAGCAGCATAATGACATTAGTACTTTTAGTATAGGAAGGATGTGAAGATCTGAGTAGTCTTCATCAGTTGAGGGGGCTGAGGTGGGCCATGGATACCTGTTGTTCTAAATTTGATTCTATGTTCTCTTATTACTGATAAATGTGGATATAATAAATCAATATAGTTTAGAACACACTTTTTTACTCTGTTATTAGTACTATTTTTTATCTATTTTGAATAAGTGGTAATTATAAAAGTTTTTTTTAAACCGATTTAAACATCAATTTAAACTGGACCTTTTTCTTTTTTTTTTTTGAAGTAGATTAAAACTGCTGTTAATTTTTGTAACTCACTCATGAATAATCAATAAATCAGCTTACTTCATTCAATGACAATGGCATTGTTTGAACACGCCATCATCTCTGTGCATTTAAAAAAAAACAGTGGAGTAACATGGGAAACTTTTACATATAATTTAAACCAGTGCTTTCATCTAGCAGAATGGACGCTTTACCCTTCAAGCTTACTATTTATGGTTATATCGTGGTGTTAATGCGAGAACTGTTGTAAAATATTAGTGTTTATGCTGCTTTGCATGCAAACTGTAAAATGAAATAAGACTGGTCCTTTTACAATCCATGGACATGATTTCAAAGCTCTGATGGTACAAACTACCACATATCTGAAAGCCATTGATTGTAAAATAATAATTTATTAGCCATGTCCAGATGGAGTCCTCTCTGATTTGGCTATGGTTCTGCTATTTTAACAGCTACTGAAACCATGCACAGGTTAGAGTGCTTGGTTGATGTGTGATAGGTGCATCATAAGACCTCAGCTGATTGGCTGGTTGGAAAGCATGGGGTGATCATGGTCGCTCGAGGTTTGATTAGTTTTCGTTTTCCTTCCACTCCATCCTGATCCCCATTCGGCAATGTGTCATGACATTATAAAATCTCCAGATCCACATGTCGCACCTCAGGATTACGTTGCTGTTGGAGATACAGAGCAGGAGTCAGTCAAGGAAAAATGAGGAATAGTAAGTACTAACTTGTTCTTAAAAACATTCAATTCGACAAAAAATGTAAACTTCAAAAAATGCTTTTGAACTTTCTCTTCACCAAAGAATCCTGAAAAAATGTATCATGGTTTCCACAAAATATTAAACTGTTTTAAATGTTGATAATAATAAATGTTAAAATGTTTTTTGAGCACCAGTGTACTGAAGGATCATGTGACACTGAAGACTGGAGCATTGGCTGCTGAAAATTCAGCTTTGCCATCACAGGAATAAATTACATGTTAAAATACATTAAGATTGAAAATATATTTTAAATCGTAACAATATTTAAAAATATTACTGTGTTTAGATCAAATAAATGCAGCCTATATGAGCAGAAGATATGTCTTTCAAAACAATAAAAAAGTCCTTACCAACCCCAAACTTTTAATGGCTACAAGTTTGTTTTGCGATTCGGCCCGAATCAGTTTTCTAAAGTGTTTTTGAAAAATCACTTACTCTGCCTTTAATGTATGATTTCGAAATAAATCTCCTTTTTGTAAATTCGGTTAATTCTAACAACATTAGAACAAAAATAACGTATATAAATTCAAATTTATATTGAATTTATTATATATAAAAAATTAAATATTATTGCATTTAACTTTCTCGCCATCTGCCATTACATCATATACAGTGTGAAAAAGCAATTACAGTGTTGTCTGCGAAACATCAAATCTGATTTTCCTTTTTCCAAAATTAAACAATGGAGAGTGAAACTGGAAGGTTTCACTTTGATTTATTTGAACAGTGGTGACCAAATAGCTGAACTGATTTCCTCTATGTGTGGCTTCAAACAATCATGAGTGTGGTATCTGCTGAAGGTATAGCTGAATTATTCTGACAGCTAACCTTACATCTTGCAGGTCAGTTTTACTGAAGGAGTGTCAGGATGGAGACACAGAGAGATTTGAATTACACATTCTTAAAAATAAAGGCTAAAAAAGAACCATTTATGGCTTGCCAAAGAACCTCTCAGTGAACAGTTCTTAAAGATACAAAAACAAAGCATTGTTTTCTTAGCGTAAAAAATATTTATATTTTATTTTTTTCCACTGTAAAGAACCTTTTGTACAATAGAAAGGTTCCATGTTTGTTAAAGGTTCTTCATAGAACCATAGACGCCAATTAAGAGCTTTTTATGAGTGTGATCTTATCAGATACCTTAAGTTCTTTCTCTAGACGGTCCACCTCTGCTCCTAAGGTGTCAATAATGTTCTCCCCATGCTTTAACATAAAGTTCTCCAGCTCCTCTGGCGTCTTCACCTGCTGAATGTCCTGCAGGCCAAACGCACACAATTTAGAAGCACAGATAGTTACACTATTAATATGTAGAGCTCCCAAAAAGATGATTCATCAGCAAAAACTACCATGAATTTGTTTGCTAATAGTGCTAATAGTTTAGTAACTTCTATGCAACCATGGATAGACTTGAAACGAACACTTGAGTCACGTCAGATGATCTACATCACAGCAGAAGCCTTGTCTCTCAGCACGTACACTGAGGATCTGTTCAATGTCTTGCTTCTCCAGGTATGAGCGTGTCACCACCCGCCCATCAAAGTCCACCTCCGCCTTGAAGCGCACTTTGCTCAGCCCCATATCTGTGGCTTTGACATCATGAATCGCCCTGGAGACAAAATGACCTGAAGTGAGGACATCAAATCTAATTTCATCAAAGCAAGAACAAGCACTGATGCAACTCTGTCTGAGCAAGCTTACGTGTCAGGATGTGATGCTTGCCTGAATTTGAAAAGCATTTGAAGCAGACTGCTTCTGCCTCCTTGTTAAAGTATTGTTATGAACTGTAAGATGGCAGCTTGTTTGCTGATGAAGCTCTTATTATGCAGACTGTGGGTACACGTAGAGGACACATACAGTGGAGAGAGGCAGGGACAAAGCACTGACCTGACAGCAGGGTCATTTTCTAGAAACTCTGTGAGCTTCTGCACATGCTCGGCCTGGATGGAGCGGCCCAGCAGAGCCTCTGTGTTAGTGTAGATGAGGAATGCAGACACTGTTCCTAACAGGGTGCCCACACCCAGAGAACCCAGACTGTCATAGTAGGGGTTACCTATGAAGGGGGAGAAAAAGAGAGGCATTAAATGCATTGAATGTCATGTTCAGTAAATAATGCGTGAGACTAATATGAGTGCAACCCAAATCAAAGGGGCCAGCTGACATACTGACAACTGAATATAGCATCTGCCATGAATAACACAACCCATGGTGTAATGGAAAAGGCGCAATGTGTTAGTACATGTTTTACATTTTTTAAATATTTTTATTTTTAATTAATTTAATTTTATATTTAATAATATTTCACAATTGTACTGTTTTTACTGTATTTTTTATCAAATATCGACTTGGAAGGTCATAAGACTCTTATTTCAAAAGAAAAAACCTTACTGATTGCAAACTTTTGAACTATAGTCTATGTGAATTAGTACACAGCAGTCTTTAATGGCACAATAGAGACCTCTAGTGGTACAACGAAAAGTGCTATTTCTTTTTTTTTTTTTAAGCCCTGCTATGTAAAATAACACTGCCTTTAGTTTCATGGTTGATTACACTTCAATAAAATACAACTGTAGTAAGCACCGGATAAAAAAACTGAGCTGAAACCGCCATCAGCACTGTTCTCAAGCATGAAAGCAGGTTTACTGAATAGAGCATTATCCAGATCTCTACGCAAATTTTCCACAAAGCCATGAAAACCACAGGGCAAGAGGAACAAGCTTCTGGACATCCGTAGGTGTTGACTTTGTGTTAGCACAGATGTATAGAGCTGGATTTACAAAGCTTAAAAAGAACATCAACTGCTCTTTACAAAGGGGATAAAGCTCAGTCCCATATGCTTATTAAACTTGACCCTGTAGTAGAGACCGCAGAAACAGGAAAGAAAAACAGTTAGCATTAAACAGGAGGGTCAGGTACAATGACACTTACTTTCCTGATGTCAAATGTATGATATATCATTCTTGCATTTATTTTAAATACCTGTAAGAGACGTTAGTCCCATACATCCAGCTGCCAGCACCACCCCGACCACAGCAGCAGCATCCTCCAACAGGACCACGTTAGTGCTGGGGTCTCGACTTTGCATCACTGTGGTACACAAACAAACAAACAAGAATTATCAAACTGATCATCTCCAAACTGTGTCAAAACTACAAATCACAATCAAATAACATAAAAGGCCAACAGAAGAGTTAACCAAAGATACATACCGTACTCATAAAAAGACAAGCCTTGTTTACGTGAACTCTTCTTGATCTCGTTAATGGCCACCAATAGTGTAGCTTTATGGGGAATCAGCAGACAGATGATATTAAAATAGTGACAGACCTTTCTGAATGTTATTGAAAATATGGCACAGGAAACCACATCTCACCTCCTTCAGATACCAGAGATCCTGCTAAAATACAATAAGCCTGCAAAAGACAATAAAAAAAAAACAGCTATACACAATTGTTCAAAAGTTTGATGTCAGTAAGACTTATTTATTCCAATTTTTATTCAGCAGGGACAGATTAAACTTATAGAACGTGACAGTAAAGGCATTTATAATGCTACAAAGATTTCTATTTCAAGTAAATGCTGCTCTTTTTTTTTTTTTAACTTTGTATTCATCAAAGAATCCTGAAAATAAATGTATCACATTTTCCACAAAAATATCAACCAGCACAGCTGTTTTCAAAAATGATAAGATGTTTCTTAAGCAGATAGCTTAAGATAGCATATTAAAATGATTTCTGAAGGATCACATGATGCTGAAGCTTGAAAATTCAGCTTTGCCATCATAGGAATAAATAAAATTTTGAAATATAGTCCAATAGAAACGGTAATACAAAATTGTAATATTTCACAATATTAGGATTTTTCTGTATATTTGATCATCTAATACAACCTTAAAATCTTACCAACACCAAACTTTCAAATGGTAATGTAACATCACAGACTTAATATTATTTTGTATATCTACAAGTTCTAACCCAGTGCTACTAACCCAGAGCAGTGATTCTATTGGCTGAGGGTGCAGGAGTCCCATAATGCCGTGATACCAGGACAAGCCAGCACCCATCATGAAGATTCCGACTCCGCTGATGAGAGAGGCGATGTAACGCATGTTGGAGAAGCCGTACCTTTAACAATACAGGACAGTTGGCTTAGACATGACCACATAACCAGAGGGCAACATGGAGGGATCAACCTGTATGAGCTGTACGTACGGATGGATGGCATCTGGGTTCCGGACAGACTGGCTGATGCCTAGTGCAAGAAGAGCCTGTGAAAGAGAGAGTATAAGAGATTAATTGAATGAATGAACAAGTATATATGTCTATGTTATTTATTTTTAAATCATACACCATCTTTTGTAGGCATGTCATTCAGGTCAAAGGTGGTTATACGGACATGAATGCCAACTTACCTGATTGCAGGTATCAGCCAGTGAGTGGATGGCTTCTGAAAACATACTGGCAGATCCTGTATAAACCCACGCCAACAGCTTGAAGAAAAAATTCAGTCCATTTCTGCAATTTTGAAAAAATTTAATTAGACATTTATATCTCCACATGATGCACAAATACACTGATGCTCAAAACAGTAATACAGAGTTCCCACACCTTGGTTAACTTAAAATTCAAGGACCTTTCAAGGACTTTCCAGGTCCAAAACCCTCAAATTCAAGGACTTAATGTGGGGACACATTTCAAGTGAGAGCAATTTACATCGTGTTACCTCATAAGATACATTGTTACAGTTTTATGTGTCAAACACAACTATGCAAAAAAGCATTTTTTTTGGCCATATGACAGAGATCTGATATTCTGTTTGTCGTATTTCTGTTTTGCATAAAACTGAAGAATATTCAGTACATCCTGTACTGTATTCTAAAATGATCTGATATTAACTTTTGCATGGATTTTATTGAAAAGAGCTTATGGCTCATGTAACCGTAAGTTTTAAGATATATGAATATGCTTTCACGTTTTTCTTGCCTCATGGGTTTACATTATCTTAACAAGCAAAGCAATTCAACATTAATTTCACGGTGCGTCTGTGAAACGTTGAAGTACCATCGTAGTAGTTTCGTCAACTTTCGTGCATGGGTGAACATCATGGCAACTACAACACAAAATACCTCACGCGGGAAACGCTTAACATAACGCGTAAATGCACCTAACTAACGTAAATCAAGCAAGCTAGTATACATAGGCCACGAAGTGTTGGCGAAATAACACATTAGCGGACCGGAGTGAATAATATGGAATTTTTCCAGTCAGGGTGGGTCAGGCCTCATGTGGGAGCACATGTCTTTTAACTCAATATCCTTAATCTAATAGCTAGATAGCATGAGGCTGGTAAAACTTACATGCATATAGCCACCATCACTACTTTTCCCGGCCCTTGTAGAAATGTCACTCTCTTCCTAGACCGAGGCTATAGGAGACAAAAATGATAAAAAACACAGGTAGCTAACTGTACTCATCGTTATGCTCTGCTTTGAGGTTGAATTAGGAGCAGCATGAAGATATGAATATGGAAAAAATGTCAAGAAAGGTACAATGGAAGAAAGAGACAGAAGAACCTGAGGAATATCATGAATCACGAGGACTGGTTACACCCAGGCACTAGTAACAAAACATAAAAATCATAGCAACAGGCTTGAACTTGTTTTACCTTTGTGTTCCCCCAGAAGTCTTTGTACTCCTTCAACAGCTTCTGATTTCTAAATATGTCTTATGAGAAAGAGAAAGACAAATGCTCATTTAGACAGCAGATGACATGAAAACATCAGAATGCAGATCATGCAGTAAATGAGGAGAGAATTACATACTTTCCTGGTATTCCCTTTCCACCTCCTTCCTGAGATTCCTCTCTCTAGCAAGTGCCTCTTGACTTCCCCATACATCCAGCGCTCTAAATCAAGACACCGAAACATGCTAATTGATCTCTCTACTCATAATTTCAGATCCTTGTGCATGATGCCCAAAGGTATATACAGTACACTACCATTGAAAAGGCTGAAGTCAGTACATTTTTATACTGTTTATGCTCATCAAGGCTGCAATTATTTGATCAAAAATACAGTAAAATATTTTTGCTTAATATTTTTGTGGAAACGGTCAGTATTTTTCGCTAAATAAAAAGTTCAGAAGAACAGCATTTATTTGGAATTTGATTTCTAGTAATAACTGTAAGTGTTAATGTAAATGTATCTTACTAACCCAAACTTTCGAATGGTAGTATAAGAAGACAGTTGTACATACTTTGCCTCCACATCTGATCGCAGGAAGACGGTGAAGGCTTCCGTGTCATCATGGGGACTACGTCGACTGATTTTTCTAAGCTGCTCAAGGTCACTTTGAACACACAAAAATGCATAGATTTAATGTAAACATGGTGGAAGGGCAGCAAACTGGATGACTACAAAGTGAACTACAAAGCTCTACTTCCTAAAGGTACCAGAGTTTGAGGCAGAACTCGTTCATAGCTCTGACTGCAGTGATGAAATTATTCTGGGTGTATTTGGTGCCATATTCCCTTTTTTTCAGGACAGCCCGTACTGAAAACACAAGAAACATGCAAGATAGTTCAAATACATAGAATCACGATATACAATTTTATTGGACCGAAAGGTGCTACAAAGTGTCTGTGTGTATAACAAGACTGCACTACCTTTCACTTGAATGCTCTGTGCTTTCATCAGACCTTGAGGTTTGGAACCTGAAATGCAAAAAAGAGACAAATTAATTGATTAAAATCCATTAACAGTTAGAATAAATCATAATTACCACACATACATTACATAATTTATAAATACATTTATAAAACACTGTTTATTTACATTTACTCAGAAAAACCTAAGAAACAAATGGTTTATAGAAATTAGCATAAAGAAGCACACTTTAGACATCATTCAAATGCCTATGAACAAACATCAAATAATGCTAAAAATCATTACCAGCTGATTTTGCAGAGGGCTGTGCAGCTTGTTCTTTCTCAGTGGGCTTTGGCTCTACAGGGCCTGCTGGAGAGCCGTCTTTATCACTGCCTGTTGTGGAACAGTTCTGAATCTGTGTCCACGTTAAGGAAGTGACTCTGGAATCGGGGAAGCTAAACCAGAGTTTGTGCACACCTTCTCCACTTTGCCAACCTATGGAGTATCACGACTCACAAGTTACGTAATCTGAATGATTTCTGGATCTAGTCTAGAATTATTAAAACTACCAATGTTGAGTGACAACATATGAAACACAAAATTAAATACACACATCCTCTAGTCTCTCAGTCCTTATGTTGACAAAACATGCAAATGACACTGCGTGAAGCTCTCACCAAAACATGGCTTTGCTATTTTAGAGGGTCTCTGAGATAAAGGGGCTCGTTGTAGCAGGTAGACCCGGCAGAGGACTTGCCATGGTCTGTGGGCCAAGCAGGGGAACATCCTCTCTGTGGCAAGTCCAGGAGAAACACACTGAATCCTGCTGGACATTTACAGTGCATTATGTTAGTAAATAGATGTCCCTGGATGTATGTGATAATCAACAACAATGAAACATATACAGTAAAAAAGGGGGAGAGTGGACTGGTCTACAAACATCAGATTAAGCCTATTAGAGCAACGTGATTGATCATGTGACCATCCACAAGAAATCTCTATGCACAAAACTCCACACATTACACAGGACTTTAATAGAACCTGTCTAAACAAATGTTGTCCACAATCATAGTGACAGTTCTATCTATCTATCTATCTATCTGTTGTTCCAACTATCCATCTATCAATCTATCCACCCATCTTATCTATCTCACATTTTGAACACTACATCAGCCAATTAGCTAAATGTGACAGTAAGTTCAAAGAGAACTACAGTTACATAAAACCGTTTTAATTCAGTAAAATTCAAAAGTAGGAAACATTTAAAACCAGTTCCGACAGTATAAACACTTGCATGCTTTTCTAGATCAGTTTAAGCGTAGAATTACCACCCAATGACATCGGTACCCGGCTTGATATCCTGACAACGCGTCCCCGAGCCAAGCAGCAGATGTTTTAACGTGCGACTGCTTTAATTTCGACCAGATTAAGTGAAGACTGCCGCTCTGAAAACAACACACTGCTAACTGAATCTGACTGCAGCCGGTGCTTTTCAGTTAGCTTAGCATGACAGCTACATCTTAGCAAGATGCTACAGTTGCTGAGGTAATTATAGACATATTACACACAGAAGCTGAAATACAGACAATCCGTTAGGTATTATTTACCTTTATGAAGCTCGATCCATTATTTACTAGTGGTGGGCGGCTAACTCAACACAGTCCATAACAAAATAGTACCAACACCGAAAGCAGTGAAGACGGAGAGCTCGCGAGATCATGAGTCATTGAACGAGAGCGCGTTAGTTTTTAGCAACAAATCGACCTTCCTTTAGCAACTTCCCCTGAAAATTAGTTGGCAACAGTGTTTGAAACTGCGCCCATCACTGGAGCAGTGCTGTTAAGATATCTATAAGACTATACAACTATTTAAAAGAGTCAAAATTGATCACGTTCTTAATTTGTGAAGTTTTAAACTAACATAATTATACATCCTATGCTGGTTGCTAAGTTGGTCTGACTCCTTATTTAAAAATAGGAAATTAAAGATTTGGTTTTGGAAATTCATCTCGGCCCAGTTTATAATAATAATAATTTTTTAACTTTTTAAACATTTAAGTACAAGAACAAAATGGTTTTAAGATGAGAAACATATACAGTAGTCATTAGTGTATATGTCCAGAATATACATTTAACACAAAAATAAGGATACATTCCTTGTGAATTTTAATGTAGCCTACAAAATAAATAAACATAAATAATAAAAAAAACATACAATTAAATTACAACAAAAACTGTATCTTTGAAACTTACACAGTACATTTGAATATACAAAGATGTATAAAGGAAAAACATTTTTCAACATATGTCTTGAAGACGTGAGCAAACTGTATTTTCGTCAGTCCCATTCAGAAAAGTTTTCAAGCTCTTGAAGCCACTGCTTCTCCACCTTCACAAAGAGAGATAACAAAACAGCTAGGATATGCATTGTACTGTATAGACATCTTTTTGTGATTGCGTTCTTCTGGGCTACATGTCAGATTGAACAAATGGCATACAGTATTCCCAATAATTTTAGAGTTATCCACCTGTTCATTTTTCAGTTTAGCCAGGCTCAGTGCTGAGGGTTTGTCTGTGATCATTCTGGTTGGCTGACTTTGAGGAATCTGTTTTGGGGACAGGGGATTTCTCTGGATGTTTGCTGCCTCAAAGACACTGTTCATGAAGGTGTCTGAATTCTCAGAGAACATCTCTGAACTTTGTCTCTTCTTGGGGATAAAGCTTGAGTATTGAAGGTCACAGTGAATCCTCTTAGAAGACAGTTGGTGGATTTTCAAACTCTAAAAAAGGATGAATCAACATCTTTCAAAATATAACAACCTCAGCCAACTCTATTAATGATTTCTGTGGCGCTTTAAAATCAATAACCCCCAAAAGACATGAAATGAGAACAATTATAGGCTAATGACAGAATTCCCAGAATCAGATAAGTTCTAGGAAGAATTATTGTATGAAGACTATTAAACTCACTCAAAAACGTACCTTCCTCCCAGGCCCCAGCCGTAAAGACTACTCTGTTAAGAGCTAACAGCCTCCACCACTTTGTGAGGACATTAAAATCACAAATGTTCAAAGACAAAATCATGAACACAGAAATGAAATAATCTGAAAGAAGCTTTGCAAAAGCACCTTTTCGTTACTACACACGCGCCTTGGAGCAAAGCGCCCATCCACAATGCTTTGAAGAGACTGTCATAGTGAGACACGTAACTCGCTGGTGCTCTTGACCTAAAACAAACCCAGTTTTAAATTTTTTTTACAACTTTCACAAGTAAGCACTGTTCTTAAGAATAAGAAGTGGAATGACACATAAAATAGGGTGTCTTGGGAGCCAGTATAAATGGGTAAAAAATGTCAAGAAAGTTACACAATGGGTATGACAGAATCCAACCTCTGCCTAGCCTAAAGTATACACAGAAAAGATGTATGGTTCAGTGGTCTATAAACAATGACTAATGGCTGTAGTGTCACTACATGTATATGTTCAAAAGTTTGAGGTCGGTAAGATTTTTTAAAATTGATTTTTGAAAAACGTCTCTTATGTTCACCATGGCTGCCTTTATTTGATAAAACAAAAGTAAAAACAATAGGTTTGTAAACTTTTATACAATGTAAAAAAATTAAATTAAAATTAAAATTTTTTTAAAATTAATTTTTAAACTATAGTTTATACCTGTGGTGGCAAAACTGAATTTTCAGCAGCCATTACTCCAGTCTTCAGTGTCACAATCCTTCAGAAATCATTCTAATATGCTGATTTGGTGCTCAAGACAATTTTTTTCATGTTTTTTTTCTGTTGTTCTTTTTTTTCAGTTTTCTCTGATGAATAGAAAGGTCAAAAGAACAGCATTTATTTGAAATAGAAAGCTTTTGTAACACTGTAAAAGTCTTTACTGTCTTTAATGTGTCAAAAATAAAATGATTAATTTCTTAAAACCATCTACTGACTCCCAAACTTTTGAATGGTAATTTAAGTAAACTTAATTTAAAAATGAAGTTAACAGAAGAATCTTACAACATGTCTTCACTGACATTCTTTCAGTGTGTTTTTCAGGGTTGACTGTAGAGTCACCCTCACTTGATCGCCATTGTACCAAAGAACTGCATCCAAGTGTCTCTCGAAAACCTCCTCACTGCCGACACATTTAAAAGCAGAATTTCAAAATATTATGACCCATCTCAAGATGTCTATATGATCGGGAAAGCAAATGTGACTCACTTATGAAGTCGGAGATCTGGGAGCGGAAAGGGTCAGAGTACTGAGCGAAAATGAAGACAGTCAGAGTCTGTTCAACAGCATGGCTCCATTCTGACTCAATGTTCTGCTGTACAGTATAACTACATCTTGTTTCCTGACTGTAGTCAGTTTCAAGAGAGAATTCTACATCAGAACACAGAGATCCTATAAAGAGAAAAGCCAGAATTAAATAATATATACACAAGCTGGAAAACTGTCTGAACAATTCTAGCCTCAAAGCCAACAGTGATTTGTAGCACAGTGCCCTTTATGCTTTGCAGCGAGGCTTTCATCCATAAAATTATAACACAGTGAGGGAATTTACTCTTAGTATCCCCAATTTCTCCCCATTTAGTCCTATAATTTACCCTGGATGCTTTGTGCTCCCATACAACAGACTCTAGAAAGGCCGAGATCTGCCCAGGAGAGTGAAGTCTGGAGGAAACTCGTCTGTGTTTGTTGCATTAAAGGCATGGACTGTACACTAACATGTGTACTGAATGTTAAGGAAAACACAGCTTTGGAATCACAATTAAGACAGGGCAGATAGCCTAAAATCATGCATGCTCTTAAATTGTAATAACGATATTTATGTGAACATTACAAAGGATATCCGTATGCATGAGAGACGAGTGGGCCAGTTGGAATACTGATCCATACAGGGTGCAGGTGTTGCCATGGTAACCATGTTCATTTCCCCACACAGTCCAGCCTCTATTGTGTCGGTGGGAAGCACACAGCTCAGTGTGTCTCCCAATACTGGGTGCATTTGTGGACAGGACGGGAGACACCGTACAGAGAATGGACTCCTTCGTAATAAAATCACAGAAATAAGATGTGCAAAGACAAACAAAATGCAAGTAGAGATATTTAGTATGTTAAAACTGAATGACCAATCTGGGGTGTTGATTCTGCTTGCCAATAAGCTGTTCTATTTAATACAAATTTGCAGGAACTGACTGTCCGTATTTGGCAGTGTCTATAGTAATGCTGTGATCCATCACTGAAACTTTACTTCCTGTCTCTCCACAATAAAAGAGCAAATAAGGACAATTACACCCAAACTGTTTTTAAAAATAAAAAAGAGTGGGTTTAATAAGTAGACCTGTAACATATCATTACTTGCAGAGAAGAATAAGAGCAACAAATGTATAAAAAACAAGTTTATTTAATCATAGCGCCACCAGCTGGCAGCAGGAAGTTTGGCGCATATAAATGACTTTGACATATTCCTCTTATATTTACCACTTTAAATGCATATTGCCCACTCTTTGCTCTTTTCCAAAAGCCACCGGGTGGCGGTGAGCCCGGGTGCGAGGGCCCTTTCATCGCTGCTTGCAGCTTTAATTATTATTATAATTTACACTATACCATTCAAAAGTTTGGGGTCAATAAGATTATATTATAATTTTTTTTATATTTTCAAATATCATTTTAAAACAAGTCATTATTTCAGTCTAAATTGTCACAGAAATCATCCTGCAGAAATCATTCTAATGTGCTGATTTGGTGCTCAAGAAACATTTCTTACTGCTATCAATACTGAAAACAGGTGTGCTGCATAATATTTTTGTGGAAACCATGATTCTTTTTCCAGGATTCTTTGATGAACAGAATGTCTAAAGGAACAGTATTTCTTTGAAATAGCAATCTTTTGTAGTTTGATAAATGTCCTTACAATTTAAGGTGTTCATTCTGAATAGAAGTCTTAATTTCCCAAAACGTTTGAAAGGCAGTGTATAAATTTATTTAGACAACCTGAACATTTGTTCGTGTGTAGTTTAATCTATGTCCTAATCTAAAATCTAAAATAGATGAAAATGCAGAATCAGACCTTCACATGAGGAGAGAGAATAATAGTTTCACTCACAATTAATTAAAAATTCTAAATATGCAACAGTATTATCACAAATACATTTATAAAACATTACATAACTCACCTTAATGGTGAAAGTTTTGGTTTATTTCAGTGCAACTGCAGGAAATTATCAGTATTGCTATTGTTATTGTCCAATAGTTTGAAATATGCACTGCACTGGTCTCACCTGCGCATGAACCAGACTCAGTCTGTGCAGAAATTTTTGGATCTTTGACCGTTCAGCCTCCACTGACTGACTAGTAGCCTTTTCAACCTTTTAAAAATTAAGATAAAACTAATTATACAAAATATGTGAAAACATATGAAACATATAAGCACAATATCAGAATTAAACACAAATGAATTTTGTCAAACACAAATTTCCTGGTAGATTCTTCAGTCAGGAGGCAATCCCATGGAAAGAATAGGTAAAAAACAAAGACCCAAAATTGGCAGTAAACCTCTGAAGCTCTTCCTGATGAATACACTCATAAGCTGGGACCTCTAAAGAAAGCTTGTCCATGGCCTCTGAAAAAGAAACACAGAAGATACAAGGTGAATCTGAACATATGCAAAATTACAATCAATAGTGTTTAGGCTAGTACGTTACACACACCACTGATCTATATAAAGACTGTTCTCTATTATAGATCAGTGGGACACATTCACCTTTCAAAGCATATGGCAAGCCGTTTTATCTTAAAATAATAAAGTGTTACGCGTCGTAATTGCATTTTTACTAGTAAGAACTGAATTAGAGAGCTCTCTAGTTGGTATTGTTACTAGTAAGAATGTAATTGCAGAGCTCTCTAATTCAATTCTTAAAAAAACAAAAAACAAACACTAGCTTTCTATTTTTTTCTATTCTATCTACTTGTTTTTCTTTGTGTGTGTGTGTGTGTATGTGTGTGTGTATAATATATATATATATATATATATATATATATACACCTTGCTACGTGTACTGCGTTAGGCTAACCGAGACTTGTCATTTGCACTTATATATTGTTGCTCTTTTGTTAGTTTTGACTGCTTTTATTGTCCTCATTTGTAAGTCGCTTTGGATAAAAGCGTCTGCTAAATGACTAAATGTAAATTTTGAATTTACAATTCAATTTATAATTTTTTAATTCAATTCTTACTAGTAAGAATGTAATTGCAGAGCTCTCTAATTAAATTAGAGAGCTCTCTTATTGTATTTATAACTAGTTAAAATAGATTTAGAGAGCTCTCTAATTGGCATTGTTACTAGTAAGAATTTAATTGTAGAGCTCTCTAATTGAATTGCTACTAGTAAAAATGCAATTACGACGAGTAACGCTTGGAATATTTTAAGCTAAAACGGCTTGCCATAAAAGCAGACTTAGACATTTTGTTACACCAAGCACCAGCAGCAGACACTGTGAATGACAACATTTGTCATGATGAATGAAATATTCACAAAGCATGACGTCAGTAATTTATACATTTTACAGAATTAAATACTGACGAGTAAATCAGCATTAGTTTAGTTTGTTCGTGTTTTACCGGTTAAAATCGCGAGATTCAGATAGCGCGGTCATGACAACCAACAGACCCCCTGACCGTTTACACTCACCACACTCCCGATGAACTAAAGCCAATAAACACCTAAAAACCTGCAGTTAAGTACAGTTAACACAGTCATACGAGCAAAATATGTAAAATGCAGATACAGGTAAATAAACCCTGAATAAAATACATTTTCAATCAAACAAACAAAACACATTTGGCGTTAAAAACACAATATTGAATGTACCTGTCGTAATTTACAGTACATTTTCAATCCCAATCAAAGCTTCGTCAGAAAGGCCCTCAGAAAAGCGAGCAACCGCAGTTGCGCTGTCCATCCGCTCCACTAGATGGCGCGAAAGCCTGCTGAAAGAGACACCTTACCGCACTGTCACCTACTTTTTAGTGCTACCACCCCATGTAAATAGGGAAGCGTATGTGGATTTCTGTTGTTGTCATTTTCGTAGTGAAATATATCAGATCCGTTTCACCTTTAATTGTACAGGATGAGCGCGCAGCAGATGCTGAAAGTGTTCGTCACGAGACGCATTCCGCAGGAGGGCATGAAAATACTCCAAAAAGCCGGGATGTACGAAACTTTCTATGATCTCGTATGCATGCATTATACAATGTCTGAGATGCTTTCCCTGGAGTGTTAATGAGATGAAGTAGCTCGTATCAAAACTACGGTGGCTAAGGTTTTCATTAACAGCATGTGTAAACCTCAAGGAGCTTCGGAGGCAGATACAGTTTGGCTTCACTCCTGCATTTAAAGTTTCACCAGTGACCTTGTAGCATGCCGACAGTCTCACACTGTTAGGTCACGAGCTTTATTGCATGCTTTGTTATTTTACATTAAATGTAGCAGAACAAAATGTAAATTATTGCAAACAACTTGCACACATTTTATCAGCAGTTTTTGTTTATTAAATGCCTCTTGTTATGAATTATGTGCAGGTGTAATTTGTCAGTGTGGGACTCGGATGAGCCTGTGCCCAGGGCAGAGCTCCTGAAGGGGGTGGCAGGTGCTCATGGGCTTCTCTGTTTACTCTCAGACAAAATTGATGCTGAGGTCTTGGATGCGGCTGGTAAGGCAAATCTCTATTTACGCTTTAGAACAACTGCAGGTGAAGATACTGATTTGGTAATACTGACAATACACATTAAATGTTCTCAGGACCCAACTTGAAAGTGATCAGCACTCTCTCTGTGGGATTTGACCATCTTGCCATAGATGAGATAAAGAAACGGTAAGTTTGCATTTCTGTAAGCAATTAGATTTGACCCCAGAAAGTGAGAAAATGGACAGTGGATCGATTATGATGGATCACAGTCAGGATGTTTATATAATTTAAACACATGTACTATCTTTCTTTGCCCCAGAGGCATAAGAGTTGGCTACACTCCTGATGTTTTGACAGATGCTACTGCTGAGCTGACTGTGGCTCTGCTCTTGGCCACTTGCCGACGTCTTCCCGAGGGTGTAGAGGAGGTGAAAAAGTCAGTCCAACACCTTTTCTAATACATTGTGTCATATATCACAGCTTTGTAGTATCAATTCCAAATGTTCAACAATCTTAAAGGGATAGTCCATCCAAAAATGAAAATTCTTGTCATCATTTATGCACTTTCTCCTGAGGAACACAGAAGATATTCTGAAGAATGTTGGTAACTAAACGGTTTTGCTTCCTCTTGACTTCCATTGTTTGGGCAAAACATAATGTAAGTCAATGGAAACTTAAACAGTTTGGTTACCAATGTTACTTGAAATATCTTCTTTTGTGATCCTCAGAAGAAAAAAAAGACATAAGGGTGAGTAAATGATGGCAGAATTTTCATTTTTGGGTGGACTATCCCTTTAATGTTTAGTAAGCATAATCTTTAAAAACAAAGAGTCATTACCCCTGTAATATCTGTTTTTTTGGCATATAATTTCCCATCTCTCTCAGTGGCGGCTGGAGTACATGGAAACCTCTGTGGCTGTGTGGTTATGGTCTTTCGGGCAGTACTGTTGGGGTGATTGGTTTGGGCCGCATAGGTACAGTTATGAATTATTCATTTTTTCTCTCTCTACCATAAATAAGCTACCTATGCATCTGCTCTATTATGTACACCATCTGTTCTTTTAATGAAGTGACAAATTCAATGACAATCATAGTGAAAACAAGTCACTTTACAAATAAGCACCCTGTTACCATATGTAACGTGATCTCTCTGGATAATTGAATATGTCGTCCAATTTATGCTGTTAAAACAATGAAGGTGAATTGTTTAGACATTATCATTATAGAGAGAATTACATTGGCTCTAATAGATTTGTTTAATTGGTGATTTGTAGGTTTGGCCATTGCAAGGCGACTAAAGCCTTTTGGAGTGAAGAGACTGCTGTACACAGGCAGACAACCCAAACCTCAGGCTCAAGAGATTGATGGGGAATATGGTAAGAAAAGACAAGAAATTGCTTGATGCAACTCAATATATGAATACAGATGGAATAAAACTATTCAGAGGGCATATGAAGATTGTATGATTGCCTCTTTTATTATCTCCACTCAGTGCCTTTAGACACTCTGGTGAGAGGGAGTGATTTTGTGGTGGTATCTTGTTCTTTGACTCCTGACACTCAAGGCCTTTGTGACAAAACCTTCTTCAGCAAGATGAAGAAAACGTCAATCTTCATCAACACCAGCAGGTAAAACACACTTGTTAAAGCAGAGCAGCAGTGGAACATGTTTGATTCTTTACTGCTATATTTGACCCATATTTGTCAAGAACATTACAGTTCTTCTGTAGACTGGCTCTTCTTTTTTTCTTTTAATCTGCTCTGCAGATATATCGATTTTTCAAATCAATACTAAAGTGAAAAAATACTTTATTCTCCTTTCTCTAGAGGGGCGGTTGTGAATCAAGAGGACTTGTTTGGAGCCCTCAGCAGTGGTCAGATTGCAGCAGCGGGGCTTGATGTTACAACCCCTGAACCTCTGCCCACCGACCACCCACTGCTGACCCTTAAAAACTGTGGTGAGTGAAAAGCAGCTTTTAAATCTCACTAGTGCTCTTGTACATTGTAAATCCACTTCAATACAGTGTGATTTTTTGCCAATGAAAAGCCATGTAATAGTAATCTAACTCAAGTCTTGCTTTGTCTTACAGTGGTTCTCCCTCATATCGGCAGTGCCACCTACTCCACACGTGGTGTCATGAGCGAACTGACGGCAAACAACTTGCTGGCAGGCCTGACGGGCTCTGAAATGCCCAGTGAGCTGAAACTGTAGTGCTCTGGAATTTAGATGCCATATGTCATTATATGAATGGAAAAGTCAGTAGCATACATCTAACCATTAAATCCACTGCATTAACTAGATGAGATTAGAAGGGATAAAACATGTATTAAAATCATCTCACATGGTTAATTTTGATCATGACTGGAACGAGATGACAATTTGATATGCTAAACATGCACATTTGTTCTACTGTGATATTGCACATTCAAAGTCAACACTCAAACGTCCTTTTACACTCCAAGCTGAAGTAGAATGAATGTTATAGGTATTTAATTTGTAACAATAAAGGATTAATTGAAAATTCCTGTATTTGACATCTCTTGGCGAAGCAGTTTTTGTTAAAGAAATAGTTAAACCACATTTTCTAAACACCAGGATTTGAATGTAATGTGAAATGTCATAGTCATTACATAAATTGTCCGTAGCATGTTTAGCTTTTACCCTCATAACACAGTATAATGAATCCAAATGTATCAATGGGTACTGGGATTTTAAATTTACATTAAAGCAAAGTAAATGTTATAAATCCAATCGAAGTTTTAGTCTCAACAACTCTGTCAATGGGAATAATTGATGAAAGATTTATTGCTTAGACCATTGTGAACATGACAACATTTTGGTAGACAATATACAAATCTTGTTTGCCATAGTTTTCAACTGAGATTGGATGAGAACAAATCAAGTACATTCAATTGCATCCAGTAAAAAAATATTAAATAAAATAAATGATACAAAGTTACATCATCTCTTCATTAACTGCCTTGGTAAGTGACTGTACAGCGGAGTCCTCCATGCTCATCTGGCAGGGAATGTTTCTGTTCATGGTGAAGTTTCATATGCTGTCCAGCTTCTTCAAAACATAGGGTGCTGAAAAACAAAAAGCCACTTATTTTCAACCAACATAAACCTTTTGATTGACATTAAGAGACGTTGCTCTGTTTGACACAGAGTTGAATAAGCTCTAACTATACACTGTCTCTAACTTTAAAGGTGACCTCTATCATTCATAGCCATGGAGACCCCATTAAATGCTGAATAGATCATCAATCAACACAACTCACATTGTGCATCGTGAAAAATAATTAATAAATAATTCCAGTTTTAAACCGATCACACGTGCACATCTGATCTAACCTGCTACACGCATGAAGCGCCTGGATACTCACTGACTCGCAGAAGCGCAACATAAATCAAAAAGTTGCGAACAGACGTGATGACATCCTCGCGCATTTTTTTCTTCGTCTCCTCCGGGTCCATCTTTGGCCCAAGTCCCTCAATTTTAAACATGTTTAAACTGGAATCGAGGATTATATGTGCCTCAAACGATCACTCCAAGCCACATTCAATCCAAAAGGCATGCGAAAAGGAAAATACGTCACGTCGGACCTGCTTCTAGGACCCCCGCTATTAGCCAGCTACTTTGTGCCTGATAGTAAGTCGTGTATTATCACGATCAATACATAATTAAAAATAATGCGTTCCTAATATAATAACATTTTATGATACTTCAAGATGCATATATACTACGAATTATTAATATATATTTTAGAAAACGCATTTAAAATGTGTCATTTTAGTCAGGCAATATTAAAAATAACACTTTTTTTTTGTCACGGCTCAGTGTTTTGATTTTTGGTGCGTGTTTGCTGTGAATCGCCTCTATCTGTGTGTAGCCTACTAAATAATGTGATTGATTAATTGTTGATTTTAATTCTTTTTATACAGACATTATCACATATATCATGGCTTTTAGTATTTAGTATCCTGTGGCACTGAATCATTTTTAAAAGCACAAAAATTGTAGCTGCATGTAATTTACATAAAAAGTCCACATTAGTGTATTTAGTGAATCATGGAGCACAATGGACTCCAGTCCAGTAACGCTTGTCAGACGCACCTGAAATGTATTAATGGATTCACTGAGACGTCGCCCGTCTGTTTACCCAGTAAACGTAAACGAAATGATGTGAATACTGTAAATGGCCACGAAGAGGATGGTCCTAAAGGGTTTCCTTCCAAAGAGAGCTTGAGGAAACTTAAGTATGGCTCTTGGCAGGGCTCAATCTATAGGTGCAGTAGTGATGGGCAAATGAAGCCTCATGAAGCACCGAGGCTTTCCTCTGACTGTTTCGGGAAAAGATTCAAAGCTTCGCGAGTGTCAAAAATAGAATTGACCATCTGGTGGTCAATAAAAAATATAGCCAAAAGCCTGTGAAAATGGCTGGGTATTTCTGGGTACAAAAAATAAGATGAGCTTTAAATGGAATTTTAATCTTTGGCATTAAGTAAAATTTTAATTTAATATAGACCTGACAATAATGATTGAAATGACTTTCAATCACCCATTCAATCTAAAATGTCCACTTCAGTGCATGTTGTAAATGTCAATATAGTCTGTTAATCTTTTAACAATTTAATGTAATTATTTCTAAATAATGTAAATAATAAGAATGTTATCTAGTACACGGACAAGTGTAGTGTTCAAACGCAAACAAAAGCTTTCACGATACTTGCGTTGACATAATGGTCTAAAACAGGTGTAGTTCATCTCTTTGAACACTAGACTGCAGCGTAACACAAGGCATCTCCCATGATGCTTAAACTGCGCGGTTAACCTAAACATGAAATGAAGTCTGGATATGAAACCACATGTGTGGCACACAGTGCACCTTGTAGTACACACGCTATATAAATAAAAGACAAAAAAGAAAAGAATCCCCTTCACTTGTTTGTTGTTATTGCTTTGAGAGGAAACTCTCCACACAAATGTCTAATGTTATCAAGCTGGGCCTATGTTTACTTAACTTTAACATATCTACCACAAAGGGTATTTTTCTAGGCCCTAACTCCACTCAGGTGGGACTGAAAGCAGTACGCACGCTTCATTGATGACAGCAGACACCCGTGTGCCTCCTGTGAGGATAGAGTAGCTTTCTGTCGCAGACAGCTAGAGCTCTCTCATCCTCCGTTTCAGCTGGCAAGGGGCATTGGACAGCCCTAACCCTGAGTTTCTTCCTTTCTAACTGAGAATCTGATTAAATGAGGCCTGGTTGGCTCTGACAGATACCGAGTGCTGGGGTGGTGATGAGAAAATTAGCTCGTTATCACCACCTGAGAGAGTGAGTCAGCATGTTTAGTGGGGATGAGATTTGCTCATTTCAAAAGCTTCTACGTCGTAACTGACCTAACTAAGATTTTGCACAAACATTCGATTAGGGTACGTTGAGTTAAATTGAGATGTAAATCATTTTGAATTTAACTATACCTATGCCTATATTTATCCAGCTAATACACCATTAAAGAGGATATTGCTATTGTGATAATGGCAATTATTATGATAACAGCTTGGACATCTATGGCAACATGCGTTTATGGTTTCTCAGTCTGCGGTCTCACACTTTGGTTAGTTGCACATAAGGGAATACTAACAATTTCTGTTTTTCTTTGTCCTTGAACTCAGTGATAAAAAGCAGTGTATGAACTAAAACTTACTTAGTCATATAAACATGTTAATTTAAAGTTTAAATGGCTGAATTCAGAATTGCTTACCAGTGTACTTCAAAGAGGTTTAACAGAAAATCATGATGTTAGTGTTTATAATATCTTAGTCGCATTTAGCAGATTAGAGCTGGGTGATAATACAGTTTACATATACAACAATACAAGCAAGCAATCGGTTGGGATTTGATATACAGAATACATAATTTTACATGGGTATACTGTATGCATATAAAGATGGCTATATTTATACTGTGGGTATATGAAAGAATCACCCCCCTTTAAAATAATCAAATTTTGTTGCTTTGCAGCCTGAAATGAAGACGGACACAGTTTTTGTTTTATCCAGCTGTATTTACTCAGTGCAACTTAGGCCATGTCCACACGTACACAGGTATTTTTATAAACGGAGTTTTTCCTTCTTTCGTTTAAAAAAAAATCTCCATCCACATGAAAACGCAAACGCATGCTATAAAGCACTGTCAAGAGCATGCCAAACCAACAGGTGGCGATATAATCTCAACCGTAAAGCCATGTTGGCCAATCAGAAGCCTGAAAAAGTCTCCAGTAGGCGAAGATAACAGCGCAGGCTCCGACGTCACAAGCCAAAAACAGGAACGGCCTAACCGCGTAGAAAAAGCTGTGGTTTTAAAAATAACCACGTTCGTGTGGACAGGGCCTTATAACATCCAAGTGAAAGATATAACACCAACATGTCAGAAAAAAATAAAAAACCAGAGGACCAAAGGATCACCCCCTCCTAAAAATGACTTGTGAACTCAATCAGGTGTAGCTAATCATCTTCTCAATGGCACACAAAACCATTTGACTTTCAACTCTAATCAGCTGTGGCCATTTTGATTAGCTCGGCATGAAAAGAGCTTTCCTGGAGCATTTCAGTCCTTGGTAGTGCAACTGAAGCAAACAATCAACTATGGGTGGCAAGGCACTGTCAAAAGATCTCCGGGATAAAGTTGTGGAAGGCAAAAGTCAGGAGATGGATACAAAAAATGTCAAAGGCTTTATCAATGCCTAGAAGCACAGTGAAGTCTATAATTAAGAAGTGGAAGGTATTTGGTACAACACAGACCCTCCCTGGATCAGGACGTCACTCCAAACAGGATGAAAGAGTCAGGAGGAAACTGGTCAGAGAGGCTACCAAGAGGCCTACAGCAACTCTAAAGCAGTTGCAGGAATTTATGACAAAGAGTGGTCATTGTGTGCATGTGACAACAGTTTCACAAATTCTCCACAAATATGGCTTCTATAGGAGGGTTGCAAGAAAAAAGCCACTCCCCAAGAAAGGCCACAATCAGTCACGACTGAGCTTTGCCAAAACACACCTTGAAGATTCTGAGGCAGATGAGACTAAAATTAAATTATTTGGCCTCAACACCAAACAATATGTCTGGTGGAAATCCAATACAGCTCACCATCCAAATAACACCTACTTTAAAGCATGGAGCTGGTAATATCCTGTTATGGAGGTGTTTCTCTGCAGCGGGGACTGGAGCACTTGTCAGGATAGAAAGAAAAATAGTCAAATTCTTGAGGAAAATCTGCTGCCCTCTGTCAGAAAGTTGTCAATGGGAAGAAGGTTTACCTTCCAACATGACAATAACCCAAAGCACACAGAAAAACTGATCACAGTGGTTTAAGGAAAAAAAGATGAATGTCCTTGCATGGTCTAGTCAGAGCACAGACTTAAACTCCATTGAAAATCTGTGGAATGACTTGAAGACTGCAGTCCACAAATGGTCGCCATAAAATTGAACTGAACTTGAGCAGTTCTGCAAGGAAGAGTGGGCAAATATCGCAAAGTCTAGATGTGCAAAGTTAGTAGAGACATATCTCAACAGACTCCCAGACATATCCCAAGGCTGTAATTAAAGCAAAAGGTGGTTCAACAAAATACTGACACAAGGGGATGATCCTTTTTTTAACTCCGTGATTGTTTTTTTTTTCTTTTTTTTCTGACATATTGGTGTTATATCTTTCACTTGGATGTTATAAGTTGAGTAAATACAGTTGGATAAAACGAAAACTGTGTCCGTCTTCATTTCAGGCTACAAAGCTACAAAATGTGATTATTTTAAAGGGGTGATTCTTTTCTATACTCACTGTATTTTCAACTTTATATATAGAGCTGTGTGATAATATAGTTATAACGTAGCACATTTTGTGACAATTTGCTATTTAGTATATATATAGCTATACATTAGCATACTTTATATATCTGGGTAAAGTTGGATGTACTACTGTATCCAACCTTAAATATATCTCTGAGCAATATTATAGTCTAAAAGATCTGTCTGTACTCTGGTTACATTTTCGGCATGCAATGACGAACATGCTTAAACCTTATAAACTTTATTTAAAGAAATTACCTAAAGCCTATCCTATCTATGATGGAGGTGTTATGTAGTTGAGTTAATGCCCGAAATTAGCTCTACATTGATGCAGAGGCCAGCTGTAAGAGCTTCAGTTTGATGTGACATCTGATCAGTGCTTACAGGCATCTGTGCTTGTCTAGTCAGAGCCAGCTGTCCTATGCTATGATTGAGATCACACCGGCACCTCGTCTGTGCCAGACTAGCGGTGTTTGGCACTCGCCATCAGCCATTATTCAAGACCCTGCAGCTCCTCCATGCACTGCTGCACAAATGCAGGATAACTGCCATCTGCTGAAAATCCTGTCACAGTCAGAATCTTTTAACCAGTCAGTGCATTAGCCAGGGAATGGAATGCTACACGGTTAGAGCTGGATGGTAGGATGATGATGATTATGGCTGGGAATGAAAGGGCAAAGGGGTGGGGCTAATCTAGACATATAATTACTGAACAGCAAGTCTTTACTTTGAAACAGCACTACCATTTCAAGCTCTAAACGGCTGAAGATTAAACTATTATATAGTTCCTCTTTTGAAAAATTAGTTAGCTACACTACACAAATAATAAAAAGCAGCTAACTACATTTTATGTATGTATAAATTACTGTTCAAAAGTTTGGGGTCTGTAAGATTTTTGAAACAAATCTCACATGCTCACCAAGGCTGCATTTACTGAATCAAAAAGTTACTAAGAAGAGTAATATTGTGAAATGCTAGCACAATTTAAAATAAGTGTTTTATATTTTAATATATTTTAAAATCTAATATATTCATGCTTTGGAAAAGCTGAATTTTAAGCAGTCATTACTCCAGTCTTCAGTGTCATATGATCCTTTAGAAATTATTCTAATATGCGGATTTGGTAATATTTTTGTGGAATTTTTAAAAAAAATAATCTTTTCATAAATAGAAAGTTTAAAAGAACATTTACATGAAATTGATATTTTTTGTATCTTAAAGGGGTCATCAATCAGCTTGTAACACTCCAAAGAGAAAGGAAAACTTGAAATCGCATCATATGATCCCATTAATATTAATCTGAATTAAGGTGAAACTTAATAGTGGAACATATGAGAGAGAAGAATACCAGTTTATTGCCTCCGTTTACTGAATTGTAAATGTGCATTGAAGAAAGGCACAACTATTGTCACATGTCACAGAGTTAGCAACATCCACAGCACCAGATCCCTACACTCCGCCCACTCGTTCCCAATCTC